TTCAAGATATAGAACACAAAAGAAGAAGAAGAAGAAGAAGAAGAAGAAGAAGAAGAAGAAGAAGAAGAAACTCCGTTATAGATTGAGGTGTAAAACGTTTACGTGTAAGGGTGTCAACTAGTCGAGTCGCGAGCCGAAACTTTTTGTTCGGGCTTGGCTCGAGTAAAAATACTTTGAGCTTATTTTGGCCCGATCCGAGTAGCGCAAAAGCTTGGCGAAAAAATTTAGGCTCGATCCGAGCTTTCAGCTCGGGCCTTAGCGAGCCGAGCTGGGCCCAATCCGACTCGATTTTAAAAAAAAAAAAATTTGTGACAAATTTAAATTTTTTAAAAAAAATTTAAAATTTGTGCCATTTATACATATTATAAATAATAACTAAATACTAATATATAAAAAAATTACAGGTAAAATGAAAAGAAAAAATAAAAAATTAAGAAAAAGAACTGACATTCAAGTTTTTTTTTTTTGGGCTCACAGTCGGCCAGTCGAGCCACACGGCCCGGCCCGGCCCGACTAGAGCCGACGCCCAAAAAGGACTCGGCCCGAGCCTCGGCTTGGCCACACCAAGTCACGAGTCGGCCCGACTCGAACTTTTTCCAAGTCGAGTCAAGCCGGTGAGCCATTTTGCCATCGCTATCTACAAGTCTTCTATTCATTTTCAAGATTACATCCCATGGGCTCGGCACATTTGTAACCGAGCTCAACTAAAGTCGAGTCTCGACTATATAGGCAGCGTGTTCCACAACACGGTCTGACATGGACTTAATCATAATTAAAGTTGTTCGATTTAAAACCTATATCTGGAAGTTATTGGGGATATTAGTCAAAGGTGAAGGATGAATGGAACGTGCGAGGGCCAGGTTGTCTTCCCATTACAACCTTAATAATCAAGCCAGAAAATCTTCAGTATCTGTCTTGGATAACACTAACATATAGATGAGTCGGGGTGGGGTGGGGTGGGGTTCTTGAAAAGTGGGACCCTTTGTCAAGTCATCAACGTTGAATAAGTAGGTCCCTCAACGGTGAATCCCTTTAACGTCCCTAGCAATTGAATCGCACAATTGGAGCAGAGGAAATCTGTTTTTGTCCATCACACGCTACCCTTCACTCTATTTTGAGGAGAATATCATCAACGAT